TTAAAATTAGGCAAGCAAGCATCAGCCCTAATAAACGAGAGTTTTTTTTATCATCTTAATTTTAACCTTTTCACTTAGTACTAAATCAACCATTTTCAAGAATGCACAGAAATAACTGTTAGCTCGTAATGGGTCTCCTCCTCCTCGTTACTCTATGCGTACTCATAAGTCCACTAAATTACTAGATTTTGCTTACACTTCTTACTTTAGTTCTTTCATTTCATTTTTAGCTTCTGTTTATCGTCTTTCTAAGCCTTTGTCCTATAGAGAAACAGTTTGTGATAGAATTTGGCAGGAGGTTATGGTTGAGGAATTTACTGCTCTGCACCAGACACATATATGGGACTTGGTATCTCTACTACCAGGAAAACGAACTATTGGTTCTCGATGGGTATATAAAATCAAAACTAAGTCAGATGGATCTATTGAAAGATATAAAGCTCGACTAGTTGTAAATATATATTTTCAGGAGTATGGTATGGCTTATGAGGAGACTTTTGCACCTGTTGCAAAAATGACTAGTTTTTGTATCTTTATTGCAATTACTTCTGTTCGTCGATGGAGTATATCTCAGATGGATGTTAAAAATGCCTTCTTGAATTGAGATCTATATGAAGAAGTCTATATGGTCCCTCCTCCTGGTGTTTTTCATCAACCTGGTGAAGTTTGCAAATTTCAAAAAACTCTCTACAGTCTCAATCAGGCACTACGAGCTTGGTTTGAGAAGTTTTTAACTGTGATTACTTCACTTGGTTTTCGTTATAGTCATCATGATTCAGCTTTATTTTACAAATGTACAGCTGCTGATTGCATTTTACTCTCTTTATACGTAGATGACATGATTATTTCTGGTGATGATACTAATGGGATTGTGGCACTAAAGTCAGAGTTAGCTCATTGCTTTGCAATAAAAGATTTAGGCTCACTCAGTTACTTTTTAGGTATTGAAGTTGCATTATCTTGGAAAGGTTATCTTCTTTCTTAGTCTAAGTACATAGCCGATATATTTGAGCGTGCTCGTCTTACTGATAATAAGACTATTGATACACCTCTTGAGCTTAATGCTAAATATTCTTCTTATGATGGATCTCCATTATCGGATCCTAGTTTATATCGTATTATTGTTGGTAGCTTGGTTTATCTCACCATCACTCGTCCAGATATTGCACATGTTGTTTATATAGTTAGTCAGTTTGTTATCTTGCCTACTACAGTTCATTGGGCTGCTGTTATTCGTATCTTGAGGTATCGTCGGGGCATTCAGTTTTAGAGTCTTTTACTTTCCTCTACTTCTTCATTAGAATTACGAGCATATTGTGATATTGATTGTGCTAGTGATCCTACAGATCTTCGATCTACCATTGGCCTCTATATCTTTCTTGGTGATTCTCTTATTTCTTAGAAGAGCAAGAAACAAGATATTGTTTCTAGATCTTTCACGGAAGTAGAGTATAGTGCCATGGCTTCTACTACTTGTGAAATAGTTTGGTTACGTTGGTTGATTGCAGATATGGGTATATTTTCCAGCAACTTACTCCATTGTATTGTGATAATAAGAGTGCTATTCAAATTGTACGTAATTCAGTATTTCATGAGAGGATGAAGTATAGTAAGATTGATTGTCATGTCACTCGACATCATTATTAACTTGGCACTATAACGTTACCTTTTGTTTCTTCCACTATGCAGGTTGCTGACTTGTTTACGAAGTCACATTCCACTTCGCGATTTCATTTTTTGCTTGGCAAACTCTCGATGCTTCTTCCAGCAGCATCATGAGTTTGCTGGGAGATATTAAATATATTAATTTTATATTAAGGGTAGATTAGTCATTTTATTTGTCTACTTGTAAGACTATTTAAAGTTTCCCTTTTCTTATATTTTCATTAATTCAATTAATGTAGAAATCCTAGCCTCTTTTAGTTTTCCTCTCTATATATTTGAATTATTAGTTTAACAATAACATTGAATCATTTAGGGTTCTTTTGATACACGATATTAAATTAAATGGGAATAGGGTTTAAAAATAATAAAACTAGAAAGGATAAATTCAAAAGGAATTGAATTTATGATACAGGACATGGGGTCTACTTATACAATCAATATAATTTGTTTTCTTGAAATTTTCAAAATAGTCCACTTTTAAACGTTAAAGTGGAAAGTTAAACATAATTAAACCTTTTCTTTTAAAACAATTTATTTACCTAATTAAAACTTGTCATCATTATATTTTTTCTCTCGTAAAAAGCGCACACCTGAACAATTTTGTGGTGTTCGTCAAGCTAGTAATCTCTCAACTTGAATATTTCGTGGAGTGGTCGAGCTTATTAAGTACTTGATCACTAGTTGAGTTTGTCAAGTTACCAAATGTTGAAAAGAAATTTTTTATAAAGGGTAGTGTGACCATCCTTTGAAGCATTTTCAGAATTGTTCTATAGTAGATATTGTCGACCCGATCCTATACTTCACCAAATCGATATAAACATCAAGAATTAGATGATGGTGCAATAGATTTAGGCTTCATAACTAAGCAAAAACCACCAAACTAAATCTAAATTGTCTTTTCAAAATCGTTAGCTTGTTACTGCATAGATCCATAAACAATTTGATTATGAACCACTTTAAGTATGATTGAACCAAATTAATTAAATTATCACAGCACTATGTTATCAGCTCAAGAAAGTGAATTCCCTCATAAACACATTGACAAACATGTATTTGTTACATTGAATTCGTCAAAATGAATGCGGCAGCACTTTTTTCTTTAATTTTATTTAACTTAGTTATTTTTAAGTATCAAAGATATCTCGATATTTGACTTCTATATCGATTAAATTATCTTAAAAAGCATAATTTCTTATTAGCTATTCAATTCTTGAAAAATATGAACATGAAGGTCACATCAAATGCTACAAACATTAAACTTTAGTGCAATTTCTTTGAATTTTCATGGTTTCAAATCTAATACCACTATTATGCTAAATGGGGTATAGAAGATGTCCGAAAATCTACTTTTTCTTAGAGAAAAAGTTGGATTAATTGCACGTGAGCTATCATGTCAAGTCTTGCAATATTTTGACACACGAGATTCGTAATGGGGTCTTTTGTATGCCCACTAAGAACTTAATATCTGTTGAACATTATGCTTAACACTTTGGGCAAATGATGGAACTCAATACTTTAGCCCACTGATGGAATGTGAACCCACTGCCTTCCATTTGAACATTCTCGCATTTTACTGAAGTGCGACTATTGTATATTAAGTTGAAAGGTCGATATGACGCCCCTTGAAGCTGATGCAATCGTTCGATGCATTCTGACCCTTTGTATTATATATCTTGAATCCTCATTTGCTCATATATGTGAGATGGTTCTAGGGTTTTCCTCTCATTCATTTTCTACGTCTTCTCTCTAAAATAACTTCTAATTTTTGGTCTATAATCTATGATTTCTAGATATTCTTGGTGAAGTCTAGTGTAGATTACTTTGTAAAGAGGTTGATTCTATTCTTGGTTTGAGCAGTAACCTTTGGTTACTATGTGTAATTTGTTGAGAATATTTTAGAGAGAAAAACGGGGGTTTGAGGGTTAGATCCATTGGATCTTTGAGTTGTGATTCTTGTACTAATAATCTTTTGCATTTTCAAGTGGATTAGAGTAATAACAACTTTGGTGGATACTCAACATGGTGATTAGCCCCTTTTTGAGTGAACATCCGAGCTTTAAGCGAAAAATTCTTAGTGCTCTTTAATTTTCCGTCATTAATTTAGTTTTTTTCTGGAATTGATAATACCAACAATATATATAATAAAAAAAAAATCTGTATTTTGGTGTGCATTTTGACTATGTTTCTTGGATTGACCCTCTTTCTCTCTCTTGTTGGACCCAAACATACATATTTTTCCTCATATCTACTGTTTCTTGACAATTATTCTGGTTAATGTTGTATCAGTTCGGACAATAATTAGGGTGAAAGTATTTCATTTAAATTTTGTTGTCAATGATTACTCTAGCTAAATTTGATTATTAGTATTTTTTTATTTTTTTTGTTTTTTTTATTTGCTCTATTTCTCCCCTCTCATGACTTCTCAATCTTTTTCTCTTTTTGACTATTCTAAATAAAAACTTCATCTCTAATTCAATCATTTAGTAGACATCATCATAAAGTCACTTTTTTCCACAAAAGACTTTTTGCTCTTCCTTTCTTCCATTATGCTGGGGATCCCAAAAGTAAAGTAACTTTGATTTAAAATATAATTAACAAATTGACACATGAACTAGGAGATTATAAATATTTTTTGAATCCAATCCTAACTTACTAATCTTGAAAAGAAAAAGGGTTATCATTTTCACTTCAATCCAAATAAACAAGTACCTATTACTATAATTGCAATTGAGGCACCCTCTTTCCTTTTCTGTTTATCTCTTGATACATATAATTGTGACAAGGAAATGTTCAACTTCCCAAAGGACAATTGGATATATAACATTGTTCTGACTCATAAGATATATTAAAAATAAAAATGAACGAAAATCTTATATATCTATAATATCGCCTGCTATTATTACACTGTACGCCGCACATGTTCATGATGTATAAGATTCAAAGTGATGACCCCTTATAATTAAGTGAATTGATGTTCCAACCATTGGACAAAAAACCCCATGTAAATATGGCAAAATTCATACAATTTAACCATTAGAAGTGTATCTCATTCTGCACCAATGTCGTTTTTTAGTTTAATTTCGCAAGCTCAGTGATTTGATTGAAACAAAAGTATAAGCAATTTCAGTAAAACAAAACTAAATCCAGTCGAATAAGAACATAACTTATGTGACATTTTTAAACATCTGCTACCTCGTTGAATTTTAGCTGCCGATTATCAAGTATAGAAATTTGACAACAATATGATACAAATTTAGAGTGACATTCAATAGAAGAAATGTGCTTAAATGCTCGAGTGTACATTGATAATATACATCAAGTGTCAATTATTTTAACTACATAACAAATCCACCAGCAATTGCCTCAAGTCTTGTAGTTCCATACACTGGCAATCCTTCTTCATTTCCAGTTCCAAACCTGACAGTGTGATCAAGCTCAAAAAGATCAGAACTAGTACAACTCTTATTATCCAAATCACTCTCACTCTCATTCTCATAAAATTGATATCTGGATCCATGTTTACTCAAATTTTTCACCTCTTCAAGTCTCGAACTCTCAATGTTTTTCTTTATGAATTGGCAGCCAACACTTGATATTGGTGCAGTACTTGAATAATCATAACCATATTTACTTTTCTGTGGTCGGATTGAACTTGAACCTGTGCTCGAGAGATGAGTGTTCGTATACTGATAAGGGACATGTGGAGGATCTTCATATACAACTGCATTAACGAGGCAAAATCTAACAGACCTTTTCGATTTATTACCCCTTGGCGTTTTCCTTAAGCAAGATCTTGAAGCCAATGAACATGTTTTTGTGTCTTTTATTGATCTAGACTTCCTCATTGAACTCCATTCCTCCATAACCTGATTTTTCTTCAACTTTCTTGGGCTGAAAATGGAATTCAAAAAGTTGGTAATTTTACAGCCTGGTGAAATCGGCTCTTTTACCTTCTTCAAATCTTCATAAATCTTCAATGCACATAATTTTGTTTTAGAGAATCTACCTTGTCGATTTGTTCTATTCTCAGACTGTAAAATCTTTCCAGGTTTCTCAATGACAGGTATTTGATCTTGCTTCTGTTTCTGTTTCTGTTTCTGTTTCTGATCAAAGGAAGCAGCTGATGACTTTGACGTGGATTTGGAAGATGAAAACATGCTTGAATCTGTTGATGAACCTGAATTGGATGCAAAAAGCCTTGAAGTTGGAGCGTTGCTGCTGCTTCTGTAATTTTCCATCCATTTTTCAATCATGAGTGCTCGTCGAAAACTTTGGATTTCATTTTTAACTTGTACAGAATTGTTTTTTCTATGAAGATCAAAATGTTCCATTTCTTGCTCGTCAATGGACTGGTAAATGGAGTCGAGGAGAGAAGACGAGAATGAAGGCTGCTTTTTACGGCGAGGCTGCCTCTCCCTGGTAGCCATCTAGTTGTATTGCTTGATGTTAGAAAGAGGAGAGAAATTTTCTTGACATGGAGTTAAAAGGAACAGTCAACTTACCAGTTAGTATATCAGAATAGAACCATGCTACATTGCTAGAAATTTTTGTCATGACATGTCATAATTAGACTGTTTAAAAAATGGACCGTACTAAATGTACAGTAGCGTGTACATCGAGGTGTCCATAATGGACACAATGCCGAGGCGCCTACCGTGTCGGGGCCCACCGGCACCTCGACCAATGGCAAGGTACCGGATGTACATACTAATGTACATTTAGCAAAATTCTTAAAAAACGATAAACTTTTTCATCCAATCAACTGCTAACACAACTACATTTGTCAAGTAGGTGGGCAAAAACATCTGGCTTATTCCATCAGAATAAAGTGGTTGATAACAAGTGAAAAGTCAAATGCCACTGCTTGGATCTTGGCTTGGCTTGGGGTTAAAAATGATGAGAAAATGTTGGTGTGATTAGAACTTGATTTCAATTGGGTAACAAAATTCACTTAACAGCAGGGAATTAATGACGAGTAGATTGATGGTGGTTGAATCTCACTGTACTGACCATTGAGGGTCTCTTGATGACTTTTATTATTGTACAGTACAAGTGTGCATAGTTCCAATTGATTTACATGCACTCTTACAAGACATCATATGCTCGTTCGAGAAAGGAAAAACTTAAATTGGAGTTTCGCAATTAATATGAAATGCGAAAAAAATATGATCACGTGTACACTTGACATTATATTATTTCTAACGTTCAATCTCAGTTCACAGTATTTAAAAATTAAAATAAAATAAAATAAAATAAAGGAAATACAAAAATTATCTTTACAAATAGAAATATATATGTACCATAAACAAAACAGAAAATAAAATCAAACTCAAAATATATTTAGAATCCTGTTTGATTGAGACAAAGCTATGACTCTTTGCCCAGAATTTTTCAAACTGCTAAATCATTTTTCAATAAAAATAGGATTAATTGTGTTGTCGCTGACAGAATACAAGAAAAATTAATTTTACAAACTCAACCAAAATGTGTGAATGGTCTTCATATTAACCTCCTCACGCTATTATATGTGTCTCATATTAATCTTCCACTTGTATATTGATGTGATTAAAGTAGAATGAATACTACAAAGGAAAAAATGTCATTCGGTCGCACCTTCTAAGCTTATTACGACGTCACTCTTGTCACTAATTAGCTTTAGCCCTTTTCAAGTTGAAGAAAGAGCAGGCAGCTTGGGGACAGATTTTAAGCATAAGTGATGTTGTGTTTTGTGCAACAATAGTGATGAACAATAATGAAAGTTCTAATTGGCCAATTTATTTATTTAGACTCAAAGTGTGGAAATAAACAATTATAAGGTAACAAGTCATTTTTAATTGTGTCCAAATTATTAGGTCAAACAAGTCAATTTATGCTAAATTTGAATACCAAAGTTTGTAAATTGCATAAGGTAAATAACACCAATATAATCACATAGAAAACCTTTCGTAAAGGATCAAAAACTTCATGTACTTTGTCCCCATCAATAATCCACCATAAACGATGAGATTTACAGTATGGTCCAAACCCAACTAACTCTTAGTCCCATCTGACATTCTTCCTATAATCACCTTGACCTTTCTGGACTCCGTGATCCTCGCACTAGCTTTCGACCCCTAGTCTCATTTATCTTGTGTAGACCTCCAAGAACAAACCTCGTTCTTTAGCATCGAAACTCCAAGTGCCTCTTCACAAAACTCAAGTAGCTCTGAAGGCTAATGAGCGGATGTAGATTTTGGTACTTGATCAACGATCTTCTGTGTTTTGATTTGTGGTTCGATGTAGAAGCATATGGCTCAATCAATAAAACAATGTTTGAATTTATGGATAAATTCTTTAAGAGACTGATCTCTGTGGAATAATTATAATTCATCACAATTTAGGACATCCATAGAGTTGATAAAAAGGGTTCAAAATCAAGTCTTTGAAATAAAATAGGATTTCTCGACGTCGACTGTCGCTCGAGAGCTAAGCTAGCACTAGGCGAACAATAGTTGAGCAATCATCGGTATTTTCATCATAACTTTCTCTACTGATATTGGATTGAGGTGATTCAAAATGCATTAGAAAACTGACTCAAAGGGATACAATTATTCGAGAAATAGCATTTTCCAAATTCAAATTTATTATTATTATTATTATTATTATTATTATTATTATTATTATTATTATTATTATTATTATTATTATTATTATTATTATTATTATTATTATTATTATTATTATTATTATTATTATTATTATTATTATTATTATTATTATTATTATTATTATTATTATTATTATTATTATTATTATTATTATTATTATTATTATTATTATTATTATTATTATTATTATTATTATTATTAGTGAAAAATGTGTTGCAAATTGTAACTAAGAATTTTGAGCATAACTTGTAAGGTTCTTTGATACCCTTTAGACTTCTAATTGCATTCCCTTTAATCATATGTGACCTTAGACATCTTTGACATTTTGGACTCCTTCAAAATTCATACTACCAATCCTTAACTATTTTGACTTTGATTATAACTCAATAAATACATTAGAAAACTAACTCAAAATAATACAATTATTCGAGAAATAACATTTTCCAAATTCAATTTTTTTTATGTAAAAAATGTGTTGCAAATTGTAACTAGGAATTTTGAGCATAACTTGTATTGTTCTTTGATACCCTTTAAACTTCTAATTGCATTCCCTTAATCATATGTGACCTTAAACATCTTTGACATTTTGGACTCCTTCAAGATTCATACTGCTAATCCTTAACTATTTTGACTTTGATTATAACTCAATAAATTCATAGTACAATTCTACTAGGACTTCATTTTGTCTTAGGAAATTGCCAATTATAACTTGAGCTTAACAAATATGATATCAAGAAAGAAAATCAACACGATATTTAACGTGATTCAACGGTACACCTGCATTCACGGGAGCAAAATGTCTATGATTTTATGTGTGAATAATAGGTTCACATCTCTCTCTCTCTCACACATACTAACCCTAGCCCAAACAAATTTTTAGGAGGAAAACCCCAAAAATAATTTTATTATGTCGTTCCGCTCTGTTTGTTTGATGCGCTTTGCTCTCCTCACTTCACTCCACTCTGAAATCTACCTATTTATTTGAGTATACATGTGTTCCATTTTATTTGAGTCTTAGGAAATTGCCAATTATAACTTGAGCTTAACAAATATGATATCAAGAAAGAAAATCAACACGATATTTAACGTGATTCAACGGTACACCTGCATTCACGGGAGCAAAATGTCTATGATTTTATGTGTGAATAATAGGTTCACATCTCTCTCTCTCTCACACATACTAACCCTAGCCCAAACAAATTTTTAGGAGGAAAACCCCAAAAATAATTTTATTATGTCGTTCCGCTCTGTTTGTTTGATGCGCTTTGCTCTCCTCACTTCACTCCACTCTGAAATCTACCTATTTATTTGAGTATACATGTGTTCCACAACATATTACAACACATGATACGGTAGCGCCAAACGAATAATGCATGCAATAATATGCACAAACAAGGAGAATTTCCTTATTACACAAACGTTAATGTTTAGAAACCAATCCAAAGAACAGTTAGAAAACAAGTACACCAGAATATGGATAGAATACCAAATCTAGAACCTTTCAAGCATTCCACATACAGTTACGTCCTACGTAGGTAGATTTATATACTAGTCAACTGATAAAGCCAAGGATGAATTGCCTGTTGTGCAAGTTCTGACTGCCTACCGGACAGTGGAAGCATAATGCCTATTTCCACTGTATTCAAGGTTACTACCACCTTGCATGGAAACAGCCGTGTGGGGCGGGAACCTTCCTTCGGCCAGCGGGAAAATGACATCAGCACTGGCGATCCTTGTACGTTCAGTGCAGGTTGTAGTAGGAACATCATGCTTGTTCGTTTTAATCTCACGTGCATCAGCATTCAGAATATCTCCTATCTGATTGAAATGAAGGGAGTCCTGATGAGCCTGAGCCTGAGCCTGAGCCTGAGCCTGGGAATTATTAGGGTATAGGCAGTCGGATTGCTGCGGCTGCTTTTTGCTGAGAAAGCGACCACCAGATCCCCTCACTCGATTTAGTGCATGACGATGCCGAGACTCGTGCAGATAGGGCTACATAATCAAATTCAAGAATGATAAAAGTCACATTTGATAAAAACGTTAGAGCGTATCTTGGTAAATATGTAAGAGATAAATTAGCAGCAAGATAAGTCGTATATGGAGCAGCATCAAGAAAATAAAGTCATATCGATATTTTAAAGAGTCAATGAAAAAAATGAATCTTTTTTAAATTAATTCATACTAGAACCGGGAGATAAGGTCGAGTTCCCCTCATATGTCTGTATGAATTAATTTAGTAACTATTTCTACAGGCCAAGCAGAATAATCTCAATCCAAAATTAAACCAAATGATAATCAGAAGATATAATTTTTGTTCTTGATTCAATCACTAGCCATCAAAAATCTCTCCATTGCATATGCAAAAGTTCATCGTCTGAGTTATATAGCTGCCCCCTCCCACCAGTCTTTACATTTGTTGCCTAAAGGACTAAATATAAAAATGACTTGAGCCTCGAACCAGGAATAAATTGGGACTACAAATACCATCTTTCGAGTTACTGAACTATTTCACATTTAATAAATGAAATTTAAAGATAGTTGATGGAAAAATGAAAAACTAAAAAAAGAAAGAGAAACTGAAAACATCATCGAACATCTTGATTAAGCTTCGACTATTTGACCTTTCTTGTTCAGAATCAGTAATTCTAAGGGTGAGCATATATAAGAAAAAAGAATTTATCCAAGCAAACAATCAAGGTGAAACGCCCAACTACTCACTTTCCTAGTTTTGACGAGCTTCTTTTGAGCCTCAAGCTTTGCACGTATCTTTCTTCTTCTGAGTATTCCATGATACTGTTTAGCATTGACATATATAGGACCATCCTCAGACAGATCAACAGGTAGTGGGACCCGAGCAGAGGATGCACCCATCATCTGAGGCTGAATCTGATTATAAATTCAAAATCAACAACATTGTGAAAAGAGAATTAATTGAATTAAAATTGATAAAAAGAGCTATTGTTTGTTGACAAGTAAATTAAAGGTCCAAATGTGCAAAGAAAACAGATCACTTTAAAGAGATGAAAATCCAAAGCCACAAAAGCCCACTAATTTTCAAGATCTATTTCTTTTTAGGCAAAGCTCACATCGAGAATTATATAACAAATCAAAAGGCATGCTTAGGAAACCACATGCAACACAACATCTTAGAATGCAGAATAAGACCAGAAGCAAAATATCAAGGATGCCCAATTATATGCTTGATGGTACGATATCAAAGAAGGTTATACACGTATTACAAGTATAAATAAAATCATGCACGTTAACATTTCAAACATTTGAACTGAAAGAATGAAATATTTACCAGAGTATGAGGTCCGTAAGCAGTAAATAACCCGCTGAAGTAGGAATCAGAATGAGCATACGGAATCGGCATCTGCAATACGATGAAACGAATAAAAATCAGTTCCAACATAATTCAACTAATCCTTTTCTCATGCTTGATCAAAATTGCTTCCAAGTAAGTAGAAAATAATAATATTAATGCAGTCCATGAACTTACTGTTGATTGGCTTATTTTAGAGTGTGCACTGATGGAAAAATCTGGATTGCCAAAAAACACAGCAGATTTCATGTCTTGTGCATGATTCCCATAGCTTTCACTGTGTACTGAATCAATTGAAAGGAAAAACCGTTTCATTACATAGTTCACCATCATCAGAGAGATAGAAGGTGCTAATTAAGAATAATAAGCCATCACGGATTAAGGATGTCATGACACAGCACAAAAAACCCACTGTTTGACAATTTATGCCCCCAACAACCAAAATGGAAGTGAAAATAAGCCCCAATATATGCACTCCACAAAAATGTGATTCTGCTATGTACAACGGAACAATGTGCTTACAGCACCTTTTTTCTATTCAAACCACCATATGGGTGGTTTTTATTAATACTAAATCAGAATATATGGAGAAAATACAAACACTGGAGGGGGCATTATACCTCACCTCCAGCAAACGAGGAAAAAGATGATAACTTAACCAATATACGCAATTGGAGAGAGCGTTTATTCTAAGGTTCGTGTTCCTCGTCATGCATCATGTAAGGTACTTCCATTTGAGATAAAAATCATATTTTTTTACAATTTATCATGAATTTTTGACAACACTCTTAATTAAAAATACTTTTAACAGTATTTTCCAGTCACAAAAATCATAAATAGCATGTAGTAGCAACACAAAACTGCCATTAGGTAACAGAACCATAAAACATATATATTGAAATCAACACAAAATTTTAAAGAATTTACTTGCCAAAAGTATATAATTTTATATACTTGAAATTTCACTAGGAAACTTGTCCAAAAAATATTTTTGATGTCCCAAAAATATATTTTGAATTACTGAAAAGTCAAGAAGAATATTTGGAGCATTTCACAGAAGGGAAGGCCTTAATGAGTATCCTCATGCGCATACTGACAGCAAGAAGCCCATGCAAAAAGATGATGCTCTTACGGTTGTGGCAGCAACATTTTATTCTGTTAACCATTTCTCAACGTGCTAGGTCCAATCGAGTTGTCAAATTCCGAAAATCCATTCATAACATATTGTTTTGGGACAACAAACAAAGCAATCAGAGAGGGACCAAAAAATCACTGTTCATCTTCTCACCATTTTCTAGACTTTCACATAAAACCCTAGTTTCATCCCAAACTTGAAAATTCACATCTATCTTATTTTGAGTCCAAATTAAGCATGTTATACGAGTATGGGGAAAACTTATGGATTAATTTCATTGAATGAAATCAAGGTTCAACAGGTCATTACTTTTCAAAGTTTATGCTAGGGTTTCATTTTTCTCCAAAATAAAAGAAACTTTTTAAATTTTATGGAAGTATTCTATGTCATGGTAGATTCAAACATCGAAAATTTCATGAATTTTGAAAATGTACATTGTAGATGGCACAAAAGGTACTTGCAATAAAATGATAATACATAATTTATTATATTTTTGGACCAGGCAAAATAATTTTTATCATTGTTATGGTGCAACGAAGTCAAACATAATAGCTCAGATCCAATATAAATTTATACAAGTGGCTAATAATTAAAGGAAGAGGAGGAGGAAAGAAGCAACGGGATTGATCATTTCTTCTAGCATGAGTGTTCATTGCTGGATTAAGATTTAAGATTATTCGGCTAGTTATATCATAAAGAGCTCAGATAAATTTATAAAACTTGATAATAATTAAATTATGTTCAAAAAACTTACTTCAAATGTGAAAATTCCAAGGATATTCAACACAGTCACCAATTTGAGACACCTTTTTTTCATAAAAAACTCAAATAACAATGAAAAGAGTTCACCACAGTCGAAATGCCAACTTTGACAATGGTTCTGTGCAATATATAGATTTCCAAATTTTCACTTTTGGGTGATTTTAGTGCAAGAATACCTATGCATATATGTTAATTTGTAGCTTCCCTATTATGTTATATAGAGCTATTCAAGTGTCGAGTGGTCACTGAGATTTCACTTTTTGAATTAATATAGTAGCTTCTCCTACCAACTCAATTTTATATGATTTAGGTCGGGTCAACCCACATGCAAATAACCGACTTTCAACACATAAAACTACTCGAAGGGAGTCAAGCTACCAAGAACAGGCATTAAGATTATTCTAATAGTAATCCGTATACACTAAATTAATTTTTTTTTTTTTTTAAATTATATGTGTGAATCTGAAAGGAGTCAGGTTACAAACCCTAGCACTTGCACATATTATAATAGTAATTCATATACATCACACGGAATCAAATAAAAAGGAAAATATCAAAAAGTATGATGGTAACAAGAAGCTTGAGGCATGATTACCGGAGTCTGATGAAGGACACTGATCTTGAGAAATTGTCCTTCCCATGGCAGTGAATTCCTGTTGAGGTGGGTTAGTTGAATGAGCAGAGGGCTGGTCTTGTAGTTGAAAACTTAGTGCTTCACCTCCTACCAGTCTCAGATTGGAAATTGAACTTCGAAACTGATATCCTTGGATGAAGGCTAGGAGAACTCTTCTTACAAATTCCGGAAAAGATGAATAGTTAACAGTAAATGCGGCCCCGAAACAGTAGCTTGTCAGCACTTCACTTAAAAAGTTTTGAAATTGAAGGGTATTACTTACTGAAGTAGAAGAATCCCAAAGTCTACAAGGACCAACTCTTTATAATTCACTTAAGCTGCTTGAGAAAAACACATAATAAATAACCTTGATAGCATCAATCATCTAATATGCTGGAGAGTTTTAGAGTAAATGAGTGCATAATTTGCAACAATGAATAGGTTAGACAAACAAGAACAGTGAACCATTGGTGAAATGACAGTCTAAAGAGTTAAATCTAGTTGTATTTCTATCGTGACAAGGAAGAATTGGACAAAAAGGTTTAGCACTTGAATCAGCTGTTCGGGAGGTATAGCCTGGAGGAACGATAGGCAGTATTAGCTCACATTAATTGAATATTAGAACCAGAATGCCACTCAACTACAAAGTTTTTGCCCTAAATAAATGTAAGTCAATATAGAACAGGCCCTCAAGAACGGAAACAAGAATAGTGGGTTAAAAGACAAGTAGTAACTGACCTTGGATCCAAAATTTCATTTTTGTTACTGAACTTTAATTTGTTCCAAACTGGACAATTAACTTTGTAAAATTGTTAGTCACCCACTTGTTCCATCCAATATTTAACGGATAATCCACGTGGCCTGGCATTTTTCAGAGTGGCTTAACATCTTGCTTAATCTTCAATTTCAAATGCCACCTGTTAAAATCGATGTCAGATGGAAGAAATGTTATTATGTTTGTCCACTACAATTGGCTCGCTTATAACAAGAAGTTGAAGGGCTTTCTTCATCTTGTTCATCCCTACCAAAGCAACCCAACCCACCACCAATTGCCACCGCCATGACGCCTGTCCCCACTGACATCACCAATAACTCATTGCAGTTTCATACTTCGGTGTTCCTCAAAGTCATCAGTATGAGAACAGCAACAGAAAGAACCCATTTCTTCACTAGATTCTTGGGCTCCAAACACCAAACAAATCTATCACTAGTTTTCATTATCACTACAGCACCAAATCTAGTGATATTTGGGAGAAAGAAAGTAAGAAAGAACCAAGATGTGAATGGTATTAACATGGTATACTAGAGCTAGTTTAGATGTTGCAGTACAAGGATTCGAAGTAATTTTGAAATGCTTGATACTGGGTTTGGAAACAGATCAAGAATCTCCGTCCCTGGAACTGTTGAATCCCCCCATTGTAGGTAAGAATTCACCGAATTATAGTGCTGTAGTCAGAAAATAATTTGGGAAAATTGCAAATCAGGAGATAATCTGAGCAAATCTGTTAAAAATTTACATGTGTGGCTTTAGAAAAATAAGTAAACAAAGAAAATGCCATGTCAGATTTCTGCTAAGCCGCATAGAGTATTCAGTTAAATAATGGATGGCTTGCTGACTGATTGAAGTAACTAAAACATTTTGTTGGGTTTTTTGATACCCAATAATCCGGACGATGATTTAAAACAGTTGTCGGATTATTTATCGACACCATTGGCTCGGCTCGGCTCGGCTCGGAGATGAACTACACTTTTGGATGATTCGGGTTTGGGTCGGATGATTATTTGGTTAGTTGGACCATTTAGTGATTAATATGGAGTTGAATATTGGCCCATCAATTTAGGTTAATTGGGTAGCCCACTTAGTGAACCCTAAACCTAATTAGAGTGAACTAAACTAACCTATATATATGTATTTATCTTCTAGCCCTTTTTTAGTGTATGTGTGTTGTAGCAATGAAGAGGAGAGTTGAGAGAAGAGA